AAAGGATACCAAACATTCAGTTTTCTTCAAAAAATTCATGATATATCTTCCTCTAATAAGATTAAAATATTTATTATTTACTTCACCTGTAAAATCTTGTCAGTTGAAGAGCTAGAACTTTTAGAGCTTTTTTCTGATGTAAAAAATGTTGTAACACTTTCCCAACGGTTCAGTCTCATGTATATATACAAAGGAAGTGCCAATGAAATTCGGTATATTCTGCTGATTTACTATGCTCTTTTGGCCACAGTTTAAAGGTTTATTTGCGGGGGAAGAGTGAGCAACTACTGAATTCAAGGCTGATTTTTACCAAAAAAGCGGTTTTAACATTTTTTGATAAAACATTCTGCTAGGATCAAAGCTGTTGAAGCGAGTTAAGCATTTGTTAAATATTTCGAATTATGGAGCTATTTTTCAATTGTTCGTTTTTGAAAAGTGATAATTTGTTGAAAGTGAGGCAATTGTTTATACTTAAAAGATTCTAGCTTTTTCTTCGTTATTTGAGAAAAATGGCCTAAGTGATGTAAACTGTCCCGAACCGTCCAAATTCAAAGATTTTTCTTTTTTTTTCTTTGCTTGAGAGAAAATGCACATTTAGTTCAAGCTTTATTAGTCTTTATTAACAACTGTTGTGAAAATGCTTAGTTTAAGCTCACAGAAAAATTTATCATTAGGAAAACCATCAGAACGAATAGAGTGGAAAGTACTTTGAGCTTTTTGTATGACGTAGAACTCCTAACGTTTAACTTGTGTATGGTGCAACCAAGACTTCTTAAATGGATCTGGATTGTATGCTCTAAAAGTTTTGTGATAAAATTAGCAGTTTTAAACCTCTGTTAGGGCTAAACGTGCTAAAAGTTATTGGTTTTCTCATTTTTCCCATTCTGTATGCAAACTCTTTCTTTTCAAACCTTTTTTGTGCACCATAATAGCAAAAAATTTAGCTGCTTTTGTGCTAACTTTCTTAGAGACGGGAATTATATTTCATAGTTCTTAGGGAAAAAATTCCAGACTTATGTTTTATCGAGTCTTTGATTTAATAATAGGTTAAATAATTTAAAGCTCAGTCAACAAAGCTTTACCAGCGGGCATAAAACGACCCACAATGAAAGTAAAATTGACACTTCTTAATTTTTTACATCTAAATTCCTCTAGTATAGTGATTTTAAAGTTTTCTTTGTTTTTTAACAGCCCTGGCAACAAATTTTTCGTTCAAAATGAAGTCTTTTTGTATTATGGCAGAAAGGGTTAACAGATATTTCTGAAAAAAAATTTGTTAATAAATTTTTTTTGATCAGTTTGGAAGAAAGATTAAAAATTATCAGTAAGTTTTTTTTTAGTTGTCACAAATAACACTTTGATATATCTTATATATATAAGTATATCTTAGTATATCTTAACAAAGTAAAGTAACCTGCATTTTGCAGTTCTGACAGGCCAACTAGAGTTTATAAATTAATACCAGACAGCAGATTACTGAAGAAACTACGCGACTGATTGTGGCTACGAAAAAACGTTGGCTGTAAGAGCTGTTCTGCTGGTTGGAAAGGAAAGCTGACGTTGCATAATTTTTAAAGAACGTAAAACATTTGTAAAATAATGTACTTAAGAAGAAGAGCGTAAAACAGTTGTACAGTTGTTTAAAAGGGCTTATGCCATAGAATACGTAAACATAAAATATACGAAGCTTGTGGATATTCAAAACTTTTAGATATTTTTTATGCAAAAATAATACCAAATCTTTTGAGCAAGAACTGAAAACAAAGTAAAAGGTATTTTCTCCAGTGTTAGGGTAGTTTTAGCCGCAGCATACCATGCGGAGTTCTGCCAAAAACTGTTACCATCTGTTGATAATGAAATGAGAAATGCATTTTGTGTGGGGACAATTTCTTTATTAAATGCACATACTGTTTATTGTTGGTTTTTTTTCCGATGGACTGTTAACATCTTTCTGAAAATTCATGCATGCCATGCGGTAATATGTAAAACTTTTGTTTCAATATTATTTCTACCAAATACCAACAATGAAGAATATGGCAGCAATAATAAACAGTAAGTAAAGGTATATTTACAGTATATCATGCGACAGAGCAGGAAAAAAGACCTAAAAAAGTCATCAACACTTTGTAATGAAAGACGTTGTTCAAATGTCCGTTTTTTAAAAATTAGGCCACCGCTGTTCATTGCTTTAATATTCTGTTGTTCAGCATTCGGCGACTGATTGTACACACTGTCATATTCAGAACTTCAAAGAACCACTTATTCTTTCAAAATTCATTGATTCATCACAACGATTATACGCAATTTTTTTAAAAGTACTGTTTTTTTTTGAGTTAATTTAAGGTTCTGACTCTATGTTTAACTCGGTGATATAAGCTTCAAATACTACAACTTTTCAGTGTTCAAAAGAAGAAAAATCAAAATTTTATGAATCAAGATTTTTTGAAATGATGAGTTGTATAATGTTTAGGCTGAATAAGCTATCTTTTCTTTAAAACTAGTCTATATGAAAGAACGGTGAACGTATATAAATTATGGTTAGAGGAAATGCTCAAAATTACCAACAACTGTTTAGGAATAGTTGTTGGTAATTCCGACAATTTCAAACATATGTAATATTAACTCCAAAAAATGTGATAAATTTGAAAAACTTTTTGAATTCTAAACAGTCGACGACAAACACTGATCCTGTAGTCTTCAAATCTAACCAAGCTAAAAGTGGCAGTTCCACCTTCAAATTTTTCACACTAAAAACGTGTTAAAATCTCTTAAAAACCACCGTTTATGACTGTGAATAAACTAAATAAAAAGAAATCGAAAGACAATGACAGGCACTATAAAATCTGGCAGCTTTTACAGAAAAATTCAAATCCATGGCGGTAATGAGTGTTATTTTACAAGTTTAACACTGATTGCGTTGTTGCTGTTACATTCCCCTTCCTTTATTGGTCACTTCCCTATAAAGCTAAATATAATTTTAGTTTTATTTAGCTTAAATATGAAAACCACAGTCACGCATTAATTGATAAAGACCAATTTTTGAAATCTGTTACCATTGAAAGTTTGCTAAAGTAAAACTGTGCAGCACAACTACGTGTCTCGTATTGTTTGCCGTGCAGAAGTGACGGCCGTAGAAAGGAAGTGTTATTTTAGTACATTAGATGATAGGCGTGAAAATCACTTAGAGAAGGATCTTTTCAAAAATGTTACAAGAGCAGATAAAACTGAAAACTCAAATTAGATAATCTAAACAAAACAAAAATAATTGTTAAAGTGCCAACTACTAGCTTCTGCTTTTATCAAAAATCTGACTCTATTAGGTGAACGAAGTTGACAAGATAGTAACGGCTACTTACCTTAACAAAACATTATGGGCGTGGTTGATTTCACTTGTCTTGTTTCTGTTCAGAATCGCATAAAATTTTTCATCAGCGATTTTCATTTATAACATCTCAAAGATTGCGGAAATTAAAATTTACACATTGCGTTGGGACAGTCGACTAACTTGTATTATTCAGAATTTGCCCTAATTCCCATTTTCACTTTTGTGCATAAAGACTCTATTTAAAAAGTTTCATTCCGATCTTCTTTTCCGGATTTCGAAAAGTCAGGAAGGAACTTACACGATGTTTTTTGCAAGTTACGATAAACACTTGCACCTCATTACTCTCACTTTGCAAGGTATGATTTCCCTGCATTTCAGTCAATATCATATTTCTCTTTGCTTTTTCCGCCAATCATAAAACGCAGCATTTTTGCTGTTTTTTTAAACTAAGCCTACTTAAAATTCGACTTTTTATTTTGAACGATTATTATAGTGTAAAAAAGACAATTTAATTAGATTTCAAAAAAAAGACTATTTTCAGAGCGTATTTTGCTTTCTCGTTGCTCATTACAATTATTTCTACACATTAGCACCAAATTGATTGCCGTCTTTTGTCGTTCTAAAATTATTAAAAGATTAAAAAAAGTAGTTTCAGAACGACAAAAGACAGCACGAATTTAGTACTAATGCTTAGAAACATCTGTAATGAGCGGCGAGAAAGTAAAGCATGCCCGAGACATAGTTTTTCGTTGAAACCAGGCTGTCACGTTTAGTAAACTTACGAATTTCGTGAACTTATAAAGTCGATTGGTAGCCAAAAAGTGATAGATGCAAACAGCACCATGCAGGCAAAGCCCAACTACTAAAGAACAAATTTCAGTTACAAATTGAGTAAAAAGTTGTTTGGTTATATTTACACGCCCTTTTTCAAGCTATTTTCTCAGATCTTTCGAACCTACTTTTTAAAGGAAACAACTCTGCAAGCAAGATCTACTAAAATGCAAGTATAACTTATTGGTGACTTCTAAAATAAGCCTACTTAAAACGTTGCCACTTTTCTCAGTAATTAAAATAATAACAAAATTAATATTAAAAGTTCCAAAGAATAAAAACAAAAAGCTTTTTGACCGACCAGTTGTTGATGCGCTTGGCAACAGCCACTTTCTGATGCGAAGTTTTAATAAGTCTTGGAAATTGAAAGTTCAAGGCTAATCAAAAGCTTATCCACGACAACCTTTTTGTCTTCATCCCTCTCTTTTCTAAGTTCTTACTAGACTACTTAGTCCAGCTGCAGAAAGATCAAAAAATTCTCACTACTGCCTTCAACACATTAAATAAAACACAGACTAACAACATTTTCGCAGCAGTTTTTTACAAAAATTTGTCAGCGTAAAAAATTTTCTCTTTTCGCAGATATTTATTTATAAATCGCATTATAAGTCTTCACTTCTTCATTGTTGATCCTAAATGTTATTGCTACGATTTACTGTATACATCACTCAGCTTTGAAAAAAGTTTGCAAAAGTTTTTTACTAGCTCAGGCACGTAGCTGTATTCATTTTCCTGTTACCGCAGTGAAATCAAAATTGTCAGTATCTTCAACTAATTGCTTCCATTTAATTTAACCTAAGAGAAAATTTACAAAATGTAATTTTCAGCACTCTCTGTCATTGCGCTGGCAGTGGATAAAAACCTCGTGATCGATGGTGACGGTAAGCTAGAAAAGTTCGTAAATAAGGTAACTTTAAAATTAGATAAATCGTTATCGAGTACAGCTACCAAAAGCGGCACAAGTATTTCAAACAACGCAGTACCAACCTTATTTACTCCTTCTCCCATCACTAGTATTACCTTATCAAAAACGACAGCAGTTATCGATAGTCAAAATAGCGTTAATCAAAATGATATAACTTCAACCGCGAAAACAACCGTTAGAGCAACGAAAGCTGCCCAGAGACAGCAATCAACTAAAGCACCGGTCACTGATGAAATTATAGTGGCGACAGTTTCAAAAAAAAGGACCGGGTTTCGAGTTCGGGGAAACAGTAGCAGTGCTTGCAATGATCGGGAAGACTTGTGCAAATTTTGGGCATCGATAGGTGAGTGTGAAGAAAATCCTGGCTGGATGAGCGTGAACTGTCGTGCCGCTTGTAATTTATGCAATGGTACTGTTTGAACGTTCAGTCTTTCTTCTTTTTTGAAAAACTATGCAGATTAATTGAACAACAAGCAAAAAAGTAAAAACTTAACTCTTATTTAATAACCAAGAGCCATTAGTTAAACCTTGCAACCATTAGGTAAAATTTTAGTTAAAGTCAAAAAGAGATGTCAAAGATTTGACAGCGAAATAAAATGCACTTCAGATTGCCAATCAAAAAAAAGCTGCAATTTTCTTTCAAAAATTGTATGTATCGATAGCGATTTGCATTGAAATCCAGTACTGGTTTTAAAAAGCTAGAAATAACTCGAGAAAAGCACAAGTTTTGTAAACTTTTAGAATAGCTGTTTTCAATGTCTTTTTAAATAGAGTTTTACTGGAATGTTTAAACTTCTGCAGTACCTCTGTTTAAAGTTATTTTTACTAATTAAAAGAAACTTTTAAATCTTTTGTAGTTCCCGGCCATCCGACCACATTAAACCACAACCACAAGCGAAATAGTAGCTTATAATTCCAACCATCTTCTTTACTGATAGTTTTCAAAAGCTAGAGTTTCAGTTATGGTAAAACTCTCATACTGCTGATAATTTAAGGGTAGCTTAAAGGTGTTTAAAATTGTCAGAAATTCTTTGCACTCAGTGTCCCACTAAAAATAATGCAATAAATGCTAAGTGGTGACTAATCGTAGGTACAGCAGTGTGTGTCGATCGACATCGATTATGCTCTTTTTGGTCTTCGATAGGTGAATGTGACTCGAATGCCGCTTGGATGTTTACGAGATGTCCAAGATCATGCAAGGTTTGCACAGGTACTGTTACTTATTTCGTTTTGCTGTTGCAACATCATTAGAAGTGCGTGACTGTCGTATCGTCAGATGCACTTTAAGAACAATAAACCGTAAACTTTTTACCGGAGAAAATAATCTTTTTTTTTACATATTAGCTATAAACCAAAATTTTCCATCCGTAAAAATAGAATCATTTTTAACTCCATGTTCTAAATCACAATCAGCGCACACGGTTATCACTTTTTAGTTATGCATTTGCTTTACAGTCTTTAAAGTTCTTTAAAGTAAAAAAGTATGCAGATCTGCTTTAAAAAAATAAAAGAAGTTACAAAACTGGCAGAAAGTGGTCCGAAATTGAATGGCAATAAGTTGTTACAACAAAAGCTAAATACATTAAATTAATTTTTTTTTCTACTAACTTTCATTAAAAGCTGAAATACAAAGGATAAAATTTAGACATAACAAAAAATTCCGAAATTTTTGCATACATTCATGATAGGTTCGTAAGGTCCAAAGGCGAAGTAAGAAACCAGAAGCTGTGCAAGACAAAGGTTAGAATAAAGCACCTCATGAACATTTTGGAATCGAAATTTAATGTTACAATTGATATGCGTATTAAGTGACTCGCCACAAAACGAAAAGCTCTTCGCTAAGTGAATTTACTTTCTACTGAACCGGAGTCGGCCTTCATAAGAAGAAAAAAGCCTGACCTGTACAAGAACAATATACAAAAATAGTGCATTATTCAGTTTGTCCAAACTGAGCTGTCCAACCGTAAAACACGAATCTACCGACTATCTCTGCCTGACTTATTTAAACAGCGACGTTTTCAAAGTGCGCTGATTTTTTTTCTACTCAATTAGACTGTTTTTTGCAGACTGTTTGATAATTTCCGTTTGCTTCGCTTAGTTCCATTTTGCTCATTTAAAAAGGTTTTTCTAAAAATTTGCTCGTTTAGAAAGTTTCAGACAACAAACCGCCCGTCACTAGACTAAAACACAAGGAGCAGAATTTTACCATCAAAGGGTCGGTCATAGATACAGCTTCAAGAATCTATAGACAGAAGAGAACAAACAAAATATTAAACGCTTTTGGGAGTTCTCTAAGTAGGATAATAAGCAAACCAGTATGACGAAAAACTGAGTGACATTTCTTGAAAACGTTCAGTGAGAGATCTAAAAAATTCGTGGAAACGCTTGTTCTTCTAGAATGACAAAATGAGAGTTCTGAAACCTACAATCTATTTAAAAACTAAAAAAAAAAACTTGTTTTTTTGTGCTTTCCCAAAGCGAGACACAAATTTTCCGTTCAGATGTGAAAAGCAGCCAGATTTATAGCGAAATTTTAACTCAAAATGGTCGCAAAGCTATTTTAATTCTTATTTTTTAAAAACCTGTCTTACTTTAACCACTATGGTTGAATGTTCTTATGTTGAGTAAATGCAACTGCAATTACCTGTCTATTTATTCAACCAAATCTTACGTTCAAATGAGTTACAGCATTTTGAAAATTTTTAAAAATGAGCTTCATGAACTAAAAGAACTTGCACGAAAAATGGTTTTGAAACTGTATGACTTAACAAAGAGATCCCAAGTTTTTAAGCAACAGTCGAATAATGCGACACGGAAAGTAGTGACACTACACTTGTCGACCAACGCCATTAGCCTTTTATACTTTTCGATAAAAGTGATTCTTTTGGCTGGTGACGCTGATAACTCAGGAAGCCGATATGACTAAAGCACATCAGCATTAGCAGGGTGAATCAGAAGTGTATCTCACCAGTTCAATAGTAGAATTTCATTTTTTTAGGATATACGTTGCAAACTCAAGTTTCTTTTAAGTATTTAGACTTGCTTTGAATTGCTCAAGTAAAAATAGTAGAGAGCGGTTTCTCGACAGTACGCAGTCTGTAATGTTTTGTCCAGTGCTGAATACTGTCCCTCACAAAACATTCAAACGATTATCTCATTCGTTGTTTTTATACAGGTCCTTCTCTAGAAAGCCTCGTAGAGCATCCAAGAAGTCTGACAGAAGAAGATTGTCGTAATGTTGTCTCTGTTAAGGAAGGTATCTGAAATTCCACTTGTGAAATGGTTTAGTAATTCTTTTCGGCAAGAAAAGCTTCTTAAACAACTTTAAGAAAATTCATTTAATCAGTTAAGTCGGTCTAGCGGTGTAAAACTATAGAAATTTGCAGATATTTCTCACAGAAGAACAATTTCGATAAACGATGTAAGGAGTAGTAACAGACAATTAGGATGTGCCAGTTCTCTAAGGTCTCACGACTGTAACATAAACCTCTGTTACCACTTGCATTTCCGGTCTTTCGACGGATCCTGTAATAATTTGGAGTTTCCACTTCGTGGAGCCGCATTTTCACCGTACATTAGACTGCAATCACCACGATACGACGACGGTATCAATGCAGCAAGTTGTGAGTACACCCATGTTTCTGCATTTTTGCATGAGAAAAACGAAGACGAAAGAAGAGTTATTATATCCCTCAAACTCTTAAAAAACAGCGTCTAATTTTTTTTTTAATCTGTTCTCTCAATCGTTTTCCACCATTAAAAAAATCATTAAAATCTTTACCATTATTTAAACCCGATTTATCTGTTAGATTAATTATTTGCTGCCGCCACAACTTTGAACTATTGAAGAAAATAGTGGTTAAGGAATCAAAGTGTAAAAATCCAGCTACTGTTTTTCAGCAACACTGCATAAGACTCGACCTTCAGCAAGAGATGCATCGCGACTTATGATATCTTCTTCTGCAGTGGTAGATAACATTTTCAATTGTTCCCTTACTAAAAAATCCATTACAGAGCTATCCCTTTCTATTATCTAATCAGTTTGATTTTAAAGATCACTAATAATTTGCAATGAAAAAGATAAATAAATGTATTTAGGTAGTAAGTGATTCAAATGCCCTGTTAATGCAATGGGGCCAGTTGCTCGCTCACGATATGGCGAAAACTACAATGTTGAGTAATCAAGACTGTGCGTCGTGCCGTATAGATCCTAGGTGCACGAGCATACCTCTATCACGTTTAGATCCTACGTCAGTTTTCCTAGAACTTTTAAATTAATTTTAGAAGAGGAATTCTTTAAATTTTTTGGAATCTGCAACCAAAACTCTTTGGTACTCTTACAGGATAGAGACATTATCTTAAAAATTAACATCCCAGCAGGGTGCATGCTGTATTTGTGACTCTAATTAAAAAGCTCAGCGCTGGGTGGCGCAGTGACCGGAACAATGAAGTTCCGGTTTGGTAACATGTTTTCAGTTTAACCAAAACCTGCTAAACCTTAAGTATGGTACCAGTAGCTAAGGACGAGGAAACTGTTGAACTTTTTACTAAGCGAGGGAAGCAAGGGGCTCAATATTCGTTGGGCGTTGAACAGAGGCTGCGGCTGAGCCTCACCCGTTAGCGATTTGTAATATATCTTTTGAAAAACCATACGCAGCTGACAAAGCACTCAGAATCAAACTGTAAGGTGTAAAATTGTTAAAGCATCTCGGTACCGTAAGGAACAAGTTTGTAGTTTTAAAAACAGAAGTAAAATCACTTTGAATGAATGATACAAGCAACTGATTGGGAAATCACTTTTTCTTTTCGTTTTCATCAAAAAAAGAAGTTAGGAAACTATGACTTTGGTAAAATTTTGAATGGACTGCACCGTCTTAGTTGCCCTCCACACTGCTCTTTAACAGTAGTGTTTTTCGGCAGTTTTGCGGGTACACTTTTAGATAGGCGCACTGTTTTAGACCAGGGTCTTAGCTCAGCAATGACGTTCGCACCATCGTGCACATGATTATCTACACTGTTCCTTAAAATAAGCCGTTCACAAATAAGAACAGGATCATATATAGTAAACGGACAGTGCCATCAGTCGTACTCCTATTTTTCAGAGCAGTGGATGATTTCGAGCTTGATTTTGCCATTTACAGTCCAGCCTTGGGTGGTACATTCATATACGCGAAAGTTTTTGAAATTTAAAAATATTATTAAAGCAGACTGTTTTATCCAGCTGGTTTTATTCCAAACGATAACTTAAAATCGACTGGTTAATTTCGTATCATATGACAAAAACAAACTTGGAAGACCCTTGCAACCTCGAAAAATACTACGGCGATTTATAGTGCTGTTTACTAAAGTTTCACTGCCACTTAGATTTGATCTGCTTTACAGTGGCTTCTTGAAGTCTCCAGTTTCGCGGAACAAAATATAGCAGGAAAAAGGGAAGAAAAAAGTTGAAACCGTATTTAGAGCTCAATAACCTCTATCTATCTAAAGTCAGAAAAGCAGTTTTGTGCCTACAAAGGAATAATCAAACTTGAATCATTAAAAAAGCTGGAACATCTTAAACTTTATTTTCTCTTTGAGCAGGAAATCAGAGTTTGAAACTTTAAAATTTTTCATTGGGTAGATCAATTTGTTCTTAAAAAATGCTTTTGAACCAGTTCTACCAAGCTCTATATTTTTTCGCCGTTCCATTAAATTCTACCACCATCTTTTCTTTTCCTTTTTTTCGGTTATTTCTGCACTAGTCATCATACCATCGGCAATGCATAGTAATATTTTGCGATGAAAGTCAATTACTGGCTAAATTTTTTCAGCCGTTTTGAGAAGGTGCTGCTCTTCTCCCTGCACCCTCACTTTTCAGTTTCCGAGAGTGGTAATCCCGAAATCTTCTCGCTTCTAGTTAGTAATTTAAAAAGAAATAAATTACTAAGCGTAGTCTTACGTCTCTAGAAGCAAGTTTTGGAAGGTCTTCCCAATACGTTAGTCAGCTCATCAATGCTAACGAAGCAGCTTGAATGTTTCATACCGACAAACTAGTTCCGCTGCAGTTGTCTAAAGCGTTCAGAGCGGTGTTACTACTGTTATAAACTCCTTAAAATTCTTTCAGATAAGGTCACAGTTCGCATTATTTGGTTTCAGGTTTGGCAGGTTTCAGTGCTTACCACTTGCACGCTCTTCTCCTGTTTGCGGTACCGGCATAGACTCCTCTAGAGAACAGTACAATGAGAACACAGCATATATTGATGGTTCGCCGGTACGTTGCTACAAGCTGTTTTTTGGCACCACTGGTTTTCATTGTTTAATCTTTGATTAGTTTCTGAGATGATTCTCTTTTATAAAGCTGGTTTTACTTGTTACAGATTTATGGAAGTTCGGACCGTGATCAATTCGCTTTTAGAAACGGAGCTTTTCTAAATACAGTCAATGTACGTGGAAGGCTGTTTCCTCCAGTTGATGATCAACAAAATATTATGGGTGGCGATGATCGAGCAAACATTTTCGTCGGTTTGGCGGCGCTTCACGTCCTACTTGTCCGTCAGCACAACAGGTAGGTATTGGTGATATCGTTCCACTCCGTTCTTCCTTAGGTAAAAAAGATTAAGAAATTAAAGACAGGTGGTGGTCCTTTTCTGCGAAGAGAACCCGACTTGTAATCTATTTGGGCTAGCCAGTATTATTCTGAAATGCTAAGTATGTTTAGGAATATTACGCCGAACAGCTTTCAATTTGAATCTATCACATTCAGCTAAGACTCTATCGGTTATATCTCTCTCTTTTCAGCATCGCGCAAATTTTAAAAAGTGTTAACGAGCATTGGGATCAAGGACGAGTATTTCACGAGTCAAGACGCATTGTTGGAGCTATTATCCAACATATCACATATAAGGTACCTTATGGATACTTTAATACTTTCTTCAAAATGACTCATGATTTATGCCCTACCTTTCGTTGGTTCTGATCAACAGTTTTCCCAATTTTTTTTTGTGGCTAGTAGATATTTAAGCGGCAGAACCTTAAAAATAAATTATTGAGCTAATCAGAAGTTCTCGGTTTAATATATTAGGAATACTTACCAAGAATACTCGGTAAAGAACATGACAAGTTAATGGGCAGATATGAAGGGTACAACAGCAGTATCGACGCAACAATTGCGAATGAATTTACCGGTTGCGCATACCGATTTGGGCATGGCATGATCCAGGTTGTTCTATTGAATCATTAATTGAGCAGCTTAAAGCTGCAATTTGTCTTGGCTGCAATTTATTTAAGATTCAAAGATTAAAAAATTTTGAGTTTTACGGGTCATGCACGAGTATCTAAAATTTAAAAAGAGATGACTTGACCATAAAGTTGCAGGAATTCTATCCGCTTTTAAACGAGACATTTCAACAGACGGGCGGTATAGAATTTAACGAGGGCATGTTCAGAAGCGAACTTTTACTCAGGGAAGGTGTAGATCCACTGCTCAGAGGACTCATTTCTTTACCAGCGAAGATGCCGCAACGGTAATTTCAAGCCACTCTTCTACTGATAGTATTATAAAACTAATTTTGAGTAAAAAATCTTGAACTGAAAAAGGAAAAAATTTGTTTTTAGTCTTACGCCAGCGGTCACTGAGCGGATCTTTGGAAACACTGACTTAGGTTCAATAAATATTCAAAGAGGCAGAGATCACGGAATTCCAAGCTACGTAAACTGGCGCCGCTTTTGTAACCTTCCTGAAGTGAAAAGCTTCAGCGACCTCAATACAACCATTTCAAACCCTATAGTGAGGTCAAACTTGGAAACCCTTTATAATCATGTTGGTAAGTCTTCAATCTCTGTTACACTTTGTGCAAGTTATCCTCAAAGGTTCCTTGCTTAATCAGCCATACTTTTTTGATCTTTATTCGGTAGTCTGCCAGGTAACTGAAAGCTATATAAATCTGTTTAAGAAAATATCGACATGTATGTTGGCGGTTTGCTAGAAGATCCTGTTGACAATGGTTTGATTGGCCCAACATTGGCCTGTGTAGTAGCTCAACAGTTTCGAAGACTAAGGGATGGCGACAGGTTACTTTTTGTTCGGCTTACCCATTAATATATGAAGAAGCAATTGTGTTTTATAATAGGAAACTCTTTTCAGGTTTTACTATGAAAATTCTGAAATTCTTTCACCTGAACAGATCTACGAAATAAAAAAAATTTCTTTGTCGAGAGTGCTTTGTGATTCTGGCGATGATTTTCATAAAGTGCCTAAAGATGCCTTCCGAAAGAGCGGAGCTAGTGATCTTTTACTCTGTGAAGAAATTCCGTTACCTGATTGGAGCACTTGGAAAGAGGAGATTTAGTTTTATGAAAAATAATTAATAAGTGTGCGCAAGCAGTTCATAGCGTTTAGACAAGACTAATAGGCATCTGTATAATATTTCTGGTTGTTACATATCTTCTTTTTACAGAACTCTTCGTATCAGATCAAGTTTATCAAATGATTTACTTATTTCAACTTTTGGTGTTAACAGTTTTTATACTTCTAATTGTTATTTCCTTCTTTTCTTCATCTTTGTCAGCGGGTTTAAACATGCGTTTTGATTCTTAGAATTCTGTAGCATTCTTTTGCTTCTCAAAAACACTAGTAATGAGGAAACTACTTGTTGATTTCGAAAACTCTGTTGTTGAAGGTCTTCCTTTCTATGTTACAGCCATAGCCGCATTGAGCTTAGTTATGCCCATAAACGGGCGCAGAGCGAATGATCACGAAAATGTGGAAGAGGTTCTGAACTAGACAAGTAGTTTAAAACCAATAAATTTATAGGAAAGCATATAGCTTAATGATCTCTAATGCAGAGTTTAAGAACGTTAGGTTTTTCGGCTTAGAATATCTGTTTCGGTGACCTGTCGACCTTAAGCCACCCAATTTTGCAGCATTAACTGCAGTAAAAGTTTTTAAATTGTAAAACGCAGAAGTTGGAAGCGCAACAGACTAATGTGTTATAATGGAACGAAATAAACTATGGAAAAACGAATTGGAGGAAAGTAAAACAGAGTAAGTGAAGTATACTCAAACAAAAAGTAAATAAATGAAAGTGGTGCTTACAAGGAGCATTGTAGACAGATTATCTGAACAGTTTAAGCTTCTTCAAAGCAGTTATTCTAAACAGCACTGATATTTTTATCAAATTGTAATAAAAAAGCTCATCCTACCTTTGAAACAGTAGCGTCGTGGACCATTTGCTTTAGCGTATTCTTTTTTTTAGAAGATCACACAGTTTCAGTTTTTTTTTCTTTGGCAAGTATTTCAGTCTAGCTTTTAGTAAATATTTAGGAATGCAGTTAACCTGATTATTTTGAAGAGGATGGTCAATATGTGTACTGCGAGATAGAGCTGTCAATTCTGTTCTTTTATTTTAAATTTACGAGGTGTTTGTGAAGCATATTCCTCCCTGGTTGTTACAAAGTAGAACAACAACTTGTTTACTGATACCAAAAACTTGACAGCCACAGTATAATATTCCAGTTAATGAAAACTGCTTTGAGCCTCTGTGAATATGACGCAGAATGACAAATAAGTAGTTTTTTTGTAATAGGATCAAAGGATCAATCAGAATCTTTAGATTAAGCCAGCATTACAAGTTTTTAGAAAGATTCAGACAGAAACCTGCGGCTGTACGTCATCACGGTTATTTTCTTTAAACTTGTGCGTAACGATAAATGATTGATTGATTGTATTTCTTGTTTTGAAAAACCATAATAATTTAAAAACAGCCTTACTTTCTTTTTGAAATAAGTGTTTAAAAGTAGTTTTCTTTATAAATTTTGCATGTAACGCAAATGAAATAAAAAAATTGCCTTTACAATTTCCGTTAGAATTCTTTTTTGTCTTCACAAGCAGGCATCGCTAAATCGTCTTTCCATAACGTCAGGTCACATTACTTTTATAATCATTTCCAAATACCAAAGAAAAGGAATAACCGAGATATAATAGCACTGTCATCAAACCTCTTATTTCCATTTATTCAAATTTGAAACGTTTTTAGTCTCAATCTGGCACTGAATTGTGAGTCTTTCGACGGGTCGAACCAAAAGTGGTCATTTTTAACTTATTGAGAATGAATTTGAGATATATTGTATGAAGATGTATAGAGGAATAGATGTTTTATAATATACCGTTCTTAGCAGCAAAATCAAGAAAAAGCAGACAGAATGCCAGAGGTCGATCCTACGCAGTATTTAACACTAGAAAGAATGGGAGCGGACGTTCTTGCCGCGGCATACGAAAATATCAGTTTCATTACTCTTCAGAAGAACGTTTGCGAGATCTCGCTGGTGATCATTTAATGTTCGGATTTCGCGTTGGGTAATTTTGCTCAAAGTTTTTTTAGCGCTAATGAATGTGGTTTCAGAATCTGTAGGGTTGACAGGTAATTTTAAAAAGCATTTTAAGGTTTTTTTCTCAAGTCTTCTATTTCACAACAACCACTTTATGGAGTGCAATTTCGTTTTATTTACATTTCAGGGGAAAGATCGAAATTGAGCTGGAGCTTTCTGAGAGGAAAAAGTAACTGTTATTCGTAAAACACTGATTTGTATAGGAAGAAATATTAGTTCAAAAGTACTTTACACAAAGTTTTACATGAGAGTTTGTTCGCAAACAGTTAGCAGCTTAGCATCATTCAACTAATTACGCTAAGTGATTTTTAGAAGTTCAGAAGGTTTGTGGGGAAAGTCTGTTCCTTCGTAATTTACCTGCTTTAGTTGGCGTAAATTGAAAAAGTTTAAAAGGGATGCATTTTGTTTTCCTGCTTTCCCCACCTTCGCAGTTTTTCCGCCCGAAACTCTATTAAGTTTCTTCAGCAGTTCCACACAGCACATTAGTTTTTGTACTTTATACAGAAGGTTCCCCTGCCTCTTTGAGCCGCACCTTACTGTAGCGTGTTTTGCTTTTATTTGTAAAAATAAAACAGGTAAATTTTTTAATAGTTATCATTTAAGGATGATGATCGTTATGATCTCAAAAAAGCTATATAAAAGTCATCGTCTAATTGAAGTCAGAATCCTTGTCTTCGGATATTTTAGTCAAGCGCCTTTTGTGCAGCCATAATAATAAGACAACTACTTGAACAATGAATAATAATCCTGGTATTACGGCTAATGCAACAGCGGAAGGTAGCGACAAACAGCGGTTGCTACTGACAAAATTGCCTTTAGATTTTGCCTCTAAAATTTTCTTATTTAGACAATAAAGTTAGGTCATCAAATACACTCATTAAGGTGGCAAACCATAATATTCGACATCATCAGGCGAATCTAAAACTGTCAACACTCCAACTACGTCCATTTCTGGATAAGTCTCAGCATTAGGTTTCAGCCGCAAACTTTCGTTCTGGTTCCTGCGATGGCGCTGGTTTTCCTCTGATATTCTAAAAATTCAAAAGATAAGGTCTGAAGTGGTGTGACGACTTCTGTCATTTCTTTTATATGCAATGGTTAACAAATTCAGCACTTGTCTGACACCGTGCCGTCGAGATGGAATTTTCCTGGCCCGTCCGAAATGGCATTATAATTCTTCACGGACGAGACGCCACCGTACTTTTTAGTAAGTAATTCTTGTTCGTCATTTATTGGGCAGTTTCTTGGAGGCTAAAAAGCAGCAAAAAATTCTTTATTCGTAAAAAGTTCTCTTTTTTTTTAAACTAGTTTTTCTAGAGTTTACTATTGTAGTTTTTTACACTGCTTTACTTAATTTAGAATGACTACACCTCAAGTATTCATTTAAACAGAAAATGTTTTCTTTTATAGCAAAAAGTCATTCTTACAGTGAATGCGTCGCAACTTCCAGTAGATTTAACGCATAGGCGAATTTGGCAAGCAAACTTTGTCACTGTTTGTCCGGTAAATTTAAAAACTCTGGCTTCCTGCAAAAAAAATAAGGGGCCGAATGATTTATAAAAAGCATACTGCGATTTGAAACATGAGATCTACTGCTTTTGAAAGAATTAGAGCCATTAATCATTTGCAGGTTCAAACTGATTGTAAAAGGTAGCAAATTCAAACCCTCCAAGCCTTCGTTAAGTCGCTTGAATACTGTGGAGTTGGGATGATGTACTGATCTACACCACATCTAAAAGATGCCATAATAACGAAACCGAAAACAATTCATTGACCAAATTAAGATACAGACAACAAAAATTAATTTCTAAGCTTCTGCCTAACCGCATAACGGTTGTAAAAAAGCATTTCAAAGGCAAATGACAAAGATAAAAATGGACAACTTTGTAGCCTCACCCGTTTTCATCAATCACTAAAATTCTTTCGCTTTCTCCGTTTTCGACATAGCAGTTTTGTACCAGCAGACCATAATCATCTAAACTAAAATTCGTAAGTCTCACTCCTGCTATACAACTGTTTCCACCTTATTCATTAAAAACAGTTCTTTATACTAGTCTTATCTTACGTATCTCTTTCTGCCATACAGCCTTGTCCACAATAATAGTATTAGCCTGTACTTTCTCATTATAGCTCCTACAGTTCAAACTAGGGTTCAAATACAGGAATGAAGCCAGAGACTGCTGTCGTGTTGAAAGTTGAACAGAAAAGATAGACTCTGATGTAAAGTATGAAGTGAATAACGGCAAAAGGTGTTTGTATGTAAGAAAAAGTCTTATGGAAACCCTCTCGACCCTGCGATATTTATAGAAAATTAAGTGAAGTGAACTCGATCTACCGTTTTATAGCCGGCCTAGTACTGCAATGCTGTTTCATCTAAATTCAACTATAGATTGTTTCCCTTTTTTATGGTTCACCTCTTTCAATTTACTTTATTCCAAAAAAACTTTGTTTACCTCTCTCATTGGGCAATAATTAGTATAGCTTCAATGAAACATTTGAATCTGGTTAGAATAGCTACCAAAAAAATTCAAAGAAAGTCCGGCAAAATAAAACGTAGCCGTCAGCCAACTGCTAACAGCTTGTTTCAGACCATTTTTTCCTCCTCCCTTCCGCCTTCCAGTGCTTAGATTGCGGCTACGTAACTTCAGAAAGTTTCACCTTCTGAGCATTCCCATCTATGATATACGACTTCACCAAGCATTGCATAACGTATTGGTGGCCCGTCAATGCTTCCTCGTCGAATCTCATATGTACATTTTGGTTTTGTCATGCTTTCGTCAAACTGTGGAGCCAACTCAAACGGTGGATTTTTGCTAAAATTTCCTGATTATGGTGTGGTTAGAACACATTTTAGTTACTTTAAGATTTTTACTGTCACTGCTTTGCCAAACAAAATTATGACTTATAATTCTGGGAAACTTTTGAATGCCCATTCTTTTTGTTCTTCCTAACAAAAATTTTCAGCAGTCAAGTTTTATTTTCCGAGAAAAACAAGTTTATTGTTTTTCACCTATTTATATGTAGAGATAAATTTTAAATATACCATTTCACTACCTAACTAGAAGGTCCTGTAGATAGATGTCAACCAGCTCTTCTCTCGACTCGGTGTAAACACAATGGGCGCAATAGGATCGATCGCTTTCAGTGGCAAACAAAGGGTGCATTTGTACAGTCAAGCAAACGCGATACGAAACCCCTCTTGGATCACCCTGAGCCGCCGTAATTATTAATTAGGTCCATAAAAGAGTGCCGATTTGAAAATTAACTTCTGGGCCTATCTTACTCAAGAAAATTTTTTCACAAGATGACATTTGATACCTCTAATAAGAAGCTCATTGTCTACTCTCGTTTTTAAGTATGGTTCTTTTTTGCTACGTTTCAAAATCTTTTTGTATTTAATTTTAAAACTCGGTTTCTAACAATTGTTTTCTTCTGTAGGCATAATGTTATTAAGAGTATTACTGCCAAAAGATGCTGTTCCGAAGCAGGTAAGGCATAAAAACTTGAAAAACTATATCCAGAACTTTTGAATAAGGAGAGGATATGGCTACTATAACTTTAAATGGCATGTTTTTAAATACTGTGCAAAAATTTAGTAACTCAGCAGGCATCGTACTGCTTTGGGATTTCTCATACTGATTATTACCGCGCTTTTCATTTATAGAGAAATACGTGACTTAGAATGTCTGGATGCTAATTATGACAGTATTTTAACTTTAAATGTGCGGAATTGTGAGTTGGCATAGCGCTTAAGCTGTTTTGAAGCTAGCAGTTTTGAACTGATTCCTGTGACTTTTACTTTTTTAAATTTTGGGCAAAAGTATGATCTGTTGAAGTAAGTGATAAAGACCAGCAGATCTCTGTGGACTATTCTGATAAAGAAAACAATGCTTTAACTTCATATTAAAAGGTTAAACACTTTTGCATCTTACAGTTCAAATTTCAAATTCATCATTTATATGCTAGACTGAGATATGTTCAACTTACAGTTCGCTTTATTTCCATACCGCAGCTTCCCAGTGGTAGGGCAATATGATTACTGTTTTCGGCAAAGCATTTGACATCGCTGTTGAAATCCTCAACATAAATTCGTGAAGGGTTTGAGACTGACGTTTTTACCTAAACTGGCTTGCTGAAAGATTTAGAACAACGAGGAATTTTTTAATGTAAATATGAAGCGTAAGTTTTTTTTTGCATTTGTTACATTTTACAGCAATCAAACAGTGGGTGGAATAGAGTTAATGCTAGTCATTGTTCCTTATTATGCACTTTCAAAATATGAACACTGCTGTACGCAGTGAATACGGAGTCTATTGTGATTTAATTTTTTTTGGTCTTGTTCATCGTTTTTTTTTTTTCAACAATTAATTGGTCGGTTTCTTTAAACAACGATGGTAGATCAGCGAACCTGCCTTACTCGTCATTTGTAATTACAAAAGAAATAGCACAGATTACTTTATTAGTAAGATCACTCATAGTGAGTAAGTAGTCGAAATTTCTAATAAGTAACCTTTATTAAAATTTTATCTTTCTCGCAGCTCACTAGTGGCGGTTCCAAAACTTCATTTGGATATTTTGCTGCAGAAGCGAAAACAAGAAGAATAGTTACCTGAAGCTTTCGAATTATTTGTTTTTATAGTCCTGCTTAGAAAATTTGAAAATTGGAAGTTTAGGTCTTCTGAGTGTTTTTTAACCAAAAATGTGAACCAAACGATTGAAAAACCAAAATTTTTGTTCGTCTACAATTTTAGAATAAAAATGTTATAAAAATGGTCGTGGTCGGCAGCAAACAAAAGCAAAGAGATACCGCCAACTTTACAGGTCTCCAGACAAACAAGCGATTGGTCGCGGTAGTCATAATAAATCTACAAATCCTCCCTTAAAAAGACAAACAATAATGGTTAATGTAATGATTAATTAAGTAACGAAAGTTTAATTATACAGTGTCACATCATTTACAATAGCAGCGCAAAACTACTTCATTAGAATTCTTAAATTAATTGAACAAATATTTTTTTTAATTGAAAATTTTTTGTAGGTAAAATTATAGTTATTGAAAAAACTTAATTGATATTAATCAGAAATGTTCCCTACCTAATAAAATTTTCCTTATTTTTTTTCTATATTTATAAGTCAATTTCTGCATTTAAAACTAATTGCAAGAAGTCTTTTTTAATTTTATGAAACACCCTCAAAGTTCAATACGGCACTCAGTAGCTTATTTCTGACTGTTGAAAAACAGGTACTGTTTTCCTCTAATCGAGTGAAACAATTAATTTAAGTCATACAGTTGTCAGTACGGTAACTTTCAGTCTGTTTCTTACTGCTAGTCACCACAGAACCCAATGAAGTCTGATATTAATTCCGAATTAAAGTATTTGATTTAAAAAACTGAATAAAGCGACTTTATTTGATCGCAGTCGATATGGCTGATTAGGCAATGAAGTCAGTTAAATGTGACTAGGAACTACTGGGCGATGCCAGAAATCTATCACTAGTCGTCCAGACAATGTTTTTGGAATTCGTTAGAATGCTCTAAACAACGCTAAGTTCACGAATTAATATTTAAATGTTTACGGAACTGGGGTAATAGAGAAAAAATAAAGGTTTATGAAGACAAGAATATTTTTAAGAGCGGAAAAACTAAGAACTTTCTATTCTGTAAACAAAGCGGGATGGATTGCAAGAATTTCTGGTCGGCCACACTTTGTTGAAGTATGCTCAAGTATTTTTGACTCATTTTCTAATGAATTTCAAAATGAGGAACCTTTTTCTTTGTGATCTTTCAGGTTCTGAGCAGTGACTTTTCTCTGCCGGCCGAAGAAGTCCTCGTGGTCATTACGGACCGTTGAAGGAGGTAACAACGACAGCACACCACTCGTCGGCCGCTGTTGTTTTTGTATTTCTTCCCGTTCAAGGAGTTTTTTAGGCGTTTTTCATCCTATAATGAAAATAACATTCTTTTTTTCCCTTTTTTTGCTTTACTTTCGCTTCTTCTGCTTGAAAAAAATATCCCTTGTTTGATATACATGAAATTCACGGATGAATGAAACGGTTAACGGAAAAAATTTTTGCATTGTTACCAAAGATCTGCCAAAGAAATCTAAAATTTAGCTTTCGTCAAGGAGTCAGGGAAAAAACTTTATAGAATTTATAGTGACAATAGAATTGTATTGCTGGTTCTTTTGCTGTCCCGTTGAATTGAAAAAAAAAGAAGGATTAATACAGGATATTAAGATGCAGGAAAAGGAAATAACATCTTTGCAAATTTACAAAGATTCACTGCTTCAATCGTCTTTTAATAAACTGAGGTTTCTTCGTTACAACTTCAACAAAAAAAAAAAAAGTTATGCATATAAATCTTAGTTGGGTGTCAGTATAAGAGGAAAAAGCATTTGTTTAATTTTGACAAATGAACTGCAATATTGAGCCAAATTTTTGACCCTGAGTGTTAAAGTTTATAGTTATTACTGAAGACAATGGTGACAACCAAAGTTGCCGTATGCTGTTGGGCAAAAAACTTGCCAAAAATCTTTTTAGTTCTAACTGATTTTGCCTAATACTCCTACTCTGGCTCATAATCTCATATGATCATCGCAAAACTCTAATAAATGTGTACGTAGCTGAAAAAACACAACCCAACAAAGAAAGATTTTATAGTTTTTCACAATTTTTTCTCACCAACCTATAATCCAAGTGAAAGGATGAGTTGCTAATATATAAACTTCAACTTTTACAAAAATATTCTTTCAGACAGTGTCTAAAACACTAATATTTCAAAAATTTTTTTTGAGCTTTTCCTGCCTCCGTTGTTACACAAGAACTTTTGACCTAAACGACAACAATTTGCTAAAATGCTGCAGTTCAGGAATCTGTTCCTCTGTACTGAAGGATGTCCTCATTGGGGTAACGACGGTAACGACCTAATTACTTGAGGAAATTGTCCGCAGCTTCTAATATGAGTATCTATTGGCTTTTCGGGCAGGAAAGTTTATCGGATATAAGTCGTTCCCCTTGAATTTTCACCTTATAAAATAAAGATGCTTACTTCAATCTGCACTATTATGCATAGAGAGGTGTTATTAGCTTAATTATGAGTTCCAGATGTTCCGTAAAACTTTATTAATTGAACTTTTTAGTCTATTCTCCAGTAATAGTATGATCTCTCTGTGACAATTTTTAAGTTTACTTTACCAAAAAATACACAAAGTTGGGATCTTCAAATAATGAAAAAACCCAAATACGGCCGCAAAAGTCCTGAAGAAAGAATATTAGTAATCAAAATCCCGATATTAAATGGAAGAGGCAAGTTTTGTAGAGTCAAAAACAGCTATACAGCGCGAAGATTATTATCTGCGGAACACTGCCTTTTCAAATATTGAATCGACAGAAAAAAATTATGTATTTTCATTGTCCTATTCTACGTATTCTCCTGATTCTCCTGACATATACGTTTGCTTATTTAACTATTGTTTTGTTTTAAGCTTACGAAATTTTGTTTTCTTCTGTCATTCACATGTATTCTTTATTAGAATAAAATCCTTTGAAAACCACTTACTTGTCGTGTTTTAAGACCGAGCTGCAGTAACCTTACATTTGAAGCGCTCTTTTCTGTTCTGTCAAATGGCCATTAGAACGATGGATAACGTCCAGTAAAGACAAGGATTTTCCTGCATTCATCGGCAGCTAACTGTAAACCTATTTCGCCCATCTTTAAACTTTATTTTTTTCAGTTAGAAACATGATTTTAAAGCACCTTAGTAAGTCTCCGGCATCCATTTTGTTCCTTCTCAGATACTAGAATAAGAATGGTATCTCTAAAACCAACACTGTTCTAAAATGGTTTCAAAATCGTGGAGGATTTTTTTGAAAGAATACTTGTCAAATTTTACAGATGTTGTGATGAAAGCGACAAATGGATGTTGGTTGACACAGTGACGACAATACAAGCGTTGTGTCTTTTGCTGTTTAAAACAGCAGCTTTTTTGGGGTGATTCTAAGTATGCCCACTCGGTAGGCTCAGTAGTTTCATACGGATTTTTTCGCTGATTGATGAGGGATTCGTTACGCTTAGAAGCAGCTTAAAATTGTTCCTTTAATGAATTCTAGAATCAAACACTCCTTTCTGCATTTCAAACACTGGTTACCCTTCTGAATTATCTTTTTGAACTTTAATTAACAAAACATTGATAGTACAGATTAGAGTTTTTAAATAACAGTTATAATTGTTAGAGTATTCGTTTAACAACAGCTGTAATGACTAAATATTTTGGTTGAGAAGCAGAGGTCTGAAAAGCAAATGCAGTTGCCATAGGGCCGTAAAAATTTCTGTGCAAAACTTCCGTTTTTATGTACCTATTTATTATTATTTTTTTCTGGTAAAGGAACTTAAGGTTTCTCCCTGTTTTCTTGTTTTTCTCGAAATTTAGTCCTGCATGCAAAACAATAATTTTAAGCTCTCCAAGATATTTTTATAAATTTCTTTTCTGAAACGAAATTGTACAACGCTGTTGAATATTGGCTCATATCCAAAAACTTTATATCTTATTTGTATTCAGAGATGTAAGTGCATGTATATGTATGTGTAAATATATTTATGTATAGCATAAAAAAGAAGGAAGCTTCTGCAGTTGGAGGACCTTTCTGATGTAGCTAATTTTAGTTCCCAGTTGCTTTGAAGTTTCTTGAATTAAGTCAGCTCTGAGCCGTTTTGAAGAGACGAAAGTTTCAAATTTGTGGCGTTGTGTGCTGCTTTTCAAGTTGCTGGTTTGAAGAGGAGCGGATAGCAGGAGTTGTTTCGTAGCAAGGGGCAGTCATACAAAAATCTGTATATGTATTTTGCTCCATAATTTCTCCACTCGTTTCTGGGTATATCAGTTTGATTCAAAAGAACAACACTTTGTGAAGAAGATTTGTATGCTGCTTGTAAACAATTGGTCAAGAAAATTTTGACACTATGATGAACCCATATCTTACCGAAAAGCTTTCTGGAAGTAGCGTCCCTCAAGAACTCGATGGCGTGCTAGATGTGCCTCAAGGGCTTGCTAACTGTTGCAAGTTTAATCGGTGGGGGACGTATGTGGCTGTTGGCGGAAATGATGGCAGAGTCTATATCTGTGATATTGTGACTAAAGGTGTAGTTAAAGTATGTTTTGGCTAGAACAGTTTTGTATTTATTTCTAATTTCTCAATTTGCAGTTGGTGCTTTTTTTTTTTTTT